CTGTTTAGTCGTGTAATAGCTTTTTATTATTTCGGACTGAATTGTAAAAAGATCAAGTACAAAACCCTAAGAAAAAGAAAATCACTTTGGCTGTAGTTGTTCTCAGTATGGTTTCACATTTGAATGTATATATGCATTAACAATTTTGATTTAACATGTTTTATTCATTCCCAGTCAAGTTGGCCAAAGAATCCATATTTTCCCCCAAGAAAAAAAATATAAGGTTTGAAGATATGAGAAATTACACATTTGGTAAGAAGAATTTTATTCATATCATACTAAAACTTATACAAACTTCGATTTACATATTCACTAAACAAGCTAAGATCATGCAATTGAAGAATTAAAATATGTGTACTCTTTATCTTCAAGTAGGACTTGTGACAATTGACGGAACGTAATTCGAACCCGTCGGTAGAGAGTTAGAGCTGAATACACCTTAAACTTTCTCGAAAAAGAGCTTTCCGGGGGCAAAAATTCAAAACAGCCCCCGAACCACCGTGTGACTCTCACAGACAGTTTCCTCATGACAAATAGGACTTTTCACAACTGATGGAACGTAATTCGGACCGGTAGGTAGAGAGTTAGAGCCGAATACGCCCAACTAAGTCAAAAAAGGACATTTCGGGGGCGAAAATTCTGAACAGCCCCCGAACAACAGTGTGACTCTCACGGATAGCTTCCCCATGACAAATAGGACTTGTGACAACTGACAGAACATAATTCAGACCCATACGTAGAGAGTTAGAGACGAATACATCCTAAACTTAGTCGAAAAAAGGCGGTTCGGGGGCGAAAATTCTAAATAGCCCCCGAACCACCATGTGACTCTCACGGACAGCTTTTCCATGACAAATAGGACTTGTGACAACTGACGGAACGTAATTCGGACCCGTAGGCAGAGAGTTAGAGCCGAATACGCCCACACGTTCTCTAAAATTTCTTAGGATGCTTCATGTTGCTTCTTTACCACAACCATTATGTTGCATGCCCACAAAAAAACCACCAAATCTCCTAAATGCACATAGACTAAAGAATTAATTAAGGAGATTGTTGATTGTAATATATTTATAATACCAACAACTGACGGAATGTTATTCGGACCCGTAGGTTGGGATTTAGAGATGAATACACCCAAAACTTAGCCGAAAAAGGTCGTTTCGGGGGGCGAAAATTCAAAACAACCCCCGAACCGCCGTGTGGCCGACACGAACAGCTTCCCCATGCCAAATATGACTTGTGACAACTGACAAAATGCTACTCGGACCCGTAGGTTGGGATTTAAAGACAAATACACCAAAACTTAGTCGAAAAAGGGCGTTTCGGGGGCGAAAATTCAAAATAGCCCCCGAACCTCCATTTGGTCGAAACGAACAATTTTCCCATGCCAAATATAACTTGTGACAACTGACGAAATGATATTCGGACCGGTAGGTTGGGATTTAGAGACGAATACGCCCAAAACTTAGTCGAAAAAGGTCGTTCCAGGGGCAAAAATTCAAAACAGCGCCCGAACCTCCATGTGGCCGAAACGAACAGCTTCCCCATACCAAATAGGACTTGTGACAACTGACGAAATGTTATTCGGACCTATAGGTTGGGATTTAGAGCCGAATACGCCCAAAACTTAGTCAGAAAAGGTCGTTTCGGGGGTAAAAATTCAAAATAGCCCCAGAACCGCCGTGTGGCCAACACGAACAGCTTCTCCATGCCAAATATGACCTGTGACAACTGACAGAATGTTATTCAGACCCGTAGGTTGGAATTTAGAGACGAATACGCCAAAACTTAGTCGAAAAATGGCGTTTCGAGGGCAAAAATTGAAAACAGCCCCCGAACCGCCGTGTGGCCGACATGAACAACTTCCCCATGCCAAATAGGACTTGTGACAACTGACGGAATGTTATTCGGACCCGTAGGTTGGGATTTAGAGCCGAATACAGCCAAAACTTAGTCGAAAAATGGCGTTTCGGGGGCGAAAATTGAAAACAGCCCCTGAACCACCGTGTGGCCGACACGAACAGCTTCCCCATGCCAAATATGACTTATGACAACTGACGGAATGTTATTCAGACCCGTAGGTTGGGATTTAGAGCCGAACATGCCCAAAACTTAGTCGAAAAATAGCGTTTCAGGGTCATAAATTCAAAACAGCCCCCGAAGCGCCGTGTGGCCAACACGAACAGCTTCCCCATGCCAAATAGGACTTGTGACAACTGATGGAAGGTTATTCGGACCCGTAGGTTGGGATTTAGAACCGAATACGCCCAAAACTTAGTCGAAAAATGGCATTTCGAGGGCGAAAATTCAAAACAGCCCCCGAACCTCTGTTTGGCCGAAACAAACAGCTTCCCCATGCCAAATAGGACTTGTGACAACTGGCGGAATGTTATTCGGACCTATAGGTTGGGATTTAGAGCCGAGTACGCCCAAAACTTAGTTGAAAAAGGTCGTTTTGGGGGCGAAAATTCAAAACAGCCCCGAAACTACTGTGTGGCCGACACGAATAGCTTTCCCATGCCAAATATGACCTGTGACAATTGACGGAATGTTACTCGGACCTGTAGGTTGGAATTTAGAGACGAATACGCCAAAACTTAGTCGAAAAAAAGGCGTTTCGGGAGCGAAAATTCAAAACAGCCCCCGAACCTCCGTGTGGCCGTAACTAACAGTTTTCCCATGCCAAATATGACTTGTGACAACTGTTGGAATGTTATTCAGACTCGTAGGTTGGGATTTAGAGACGAATATGCCCAAAACTTAGTCTAAAAATGACGTTTCGGGAGTGAAAATTCAAAACAGCCCCCGAACTTCCGTGTGGCCGAAACGAACAATTTCCCCATGCCAAATATGACTTGTGACAAATGATGGAATGTTATTCGGACTCGTAAGTAAGGATTTAGAGCCGAATACGCCGAAAACTTAGTCGACAAAGGGCGTTTCAGGGGCGAAACTTCAAAACAGCCCCCCGAACCTCCGTCTGACTGTCACGGGTAGCTTCGCCTTTACGAATAGAACTTGTGACAACTGACGGAATGTATTGGAGATGTATAGTAATGGAAAATTATGGAAAAAATGTTCAGAAACCAATATGAACTCAATTTACGCCTTGTTTTAAACTTGCTAATTTTTTGAACGTACACACGTGTGTTATTATTTTTATCACATGTTCTAATATCCTTTCTGAAATGGCACTGACATACATTAATAAGCACCAATGGTTTTATATCCAATCTAATGATTCAAGTGCCTTTTGCAAACAAATAATGATGAAGTTGGTAAAAAGAATATTTTCTATTCACATTGGGCTTTGATATTAGTTTAGCCACAGAATTTGGATACATGTTGCATACAAATAGAAGATTGTTACATTAGTTTTATGTTACTAATGAAAGATTTAGTAATGATTGTTCTGCATTTAACAATGTTCCTTATAACAAAAGACTTTAGAAAGGCTGTACAATGACTGATAATTGATTCATCATGGAAGGTTTCTTCTCACTTATTTTTATTTCTCACTTGTTCCCAAATTCATTCATGAACACTACTACAAATATAGATAAAGATCACACTTTTTTGGTGTGATGTATGTTTTTTAATCACACCTTTTAAGTTTTATTAAAGTGTGGTCTTTAGGAGTGTGATTAAAAATGGTCATTTTTAATCACACTTTTTAAGTGTCATTAAAAAATGCTTTCATCACATCTTTTAAGTGTGATTAATAATATTTAGATCACACCTTTTAAGTATGATTAAAAACATTTAGATCACACCTTTTAAGTGTGATTAAAAACTTTAGATCACACCTTTTAAGTGTGATTAAAAACTTTAGATCACACCTTTTAAGTGTGATTAAAAACTTTAGATCACACCTTTTAAGTGTGATTAAAAACTTTAGATCACACCTTTTAAGTGTGATTAAAAACTTTAGATCACACCTTTTAAGTGTGATTAAAAACTTTAGATCACACCTTTTAAGTGTGATTAAAAACTTTAGTTCACACCTTTTAAGTGTGATTAAAAACTTTAGTGAAATTTGTGAAAAATTTACAAGTTAAAGTTAAACTGAGGTTATGTAGTCACATCCATATTTGGGAGCTCAACATACCAGATGGACTCTCCATAAAACTGAGTTTGTACGTATTGGTACGAAAGCTGTGAAATGAACACCCTTGTCCTGGTAACTGAGGCACCCCAAGATTTCCCTTCTCCGCACTGTCCAAAAGAGTCCCATGTAAATCATACAATCATTGAACACCAACCACAACCAAAATAATTAAAAACAATGTCTGGCACAACATTTGGACCTCAATGAAAAAATTAGCTTCAAATCCAAACAAGTGATGAATCATGAATCTATTACAGTGTGAGACTCCAATACCAAACAAAATATGTCTAACAAACATATGCCAATTTCAACAAAAATTTAATCAATCTCCAAGCTAGGAATAAATATGGAGTTAATAAGGCCAATAGATGATACAGGAAGAGTTTTCTGTTACAGGAATCAACATATCACATATGGCATTAGAACCAGTTATAGTGTTTCTAATACCATCTTATGGATCCCAAAACAAACAGTATATGCATGTCAAATTATTAGTTTTCTTTGCACAACCGAAACATTTTCTGTTTTATATAATCAAATAAATTTTTTTAATTTCTATGGGAAATCAAAATACTCACGCAAACATATTATGTTTGAAATTCAAAACTTGAAGAAGCAAAACAAACCTTGTTGGATCCATTTTTGCAGTCAAGGATTTAAGGGAAAAAAGTAGACCGAACATGAGCTTGTGGTCCTGCTGGTATGTTAACATCCAATGAAGAAAATTTCCAATTTAACCATCACTGATTTAACTTGAGACTTTTACACCCCACCATGAAAAAATTTCTTCACCCTTGCTCCCTATATAAACATCATCATCAAATAAAAAACACCATCACTAACATCATCCGCTCTTTCCTATCATAACCATATATATATACACATACCCATATCAGACATGATGCCTCAATTTTTTCCCAAACTAAAAATACAACTGTTACAATGAAGGAAAATTGGACTAAGAGGACACTTGACGACTTCTAATAGTGTCAAAATATGCCAAAAGGGAAAGAAGAAAAATATTGTAACTACTAAATACATTCAACAGATGCAACAACTATTGAGACTACATTACTAAACACTGCTAGAAAATTTATGATTGCTATGAAAGAGATTATTACACTATACACCCACAACCCGTCTCTATTCTTACTCACAGATATGTAAAACGTAAACAAAATCATGAACCGCCAATATATGATGCTACCCAACTCAGTTTTGTCATATATTCTAATAATTGAACTTCCTAATGATATCACAGCACATACAGTATACCATCTGCAGTCTTTTGTGCATACATACCTGTGTACCTATTCTCTCATTTGCACGCTGTAATGTTCACAAGCAGCACTATACTGTCCTATTTTGTTATGTAGATACATGCACTGATTCTGGATTATCACTGGAGTGGAGGCATGAAGAAATATATTGTTGATTGGATTACGAATTTGTCCTTCACTCACATGAAACGATCACCGCTGTTGTCACCTGCATTACTTTGTTTCAAACTAAGATTGGCGAAAGCCCTCGACAAATATAAAATGATGAAATTACATGTGCTCGAATTGGCATACCTTTTGCGCTTGCTCTTCAAGACTGTAGAAGTGGAAGAATTGCTGTGCCAATTCCTTTTCCTCTGATTAATGAACCAATTATTTATCTGTTTCAATTGCAACCCTGTTTCCTGGACCAATCTTGCCTTGTCTTCCTCCTGAAAGAACAACAATTAACCACGGTGATTTAGAAAAACTCACCACTTAATTCTTGCGGCAAGCAGTATCAACAAACTCACCACTTAATTCTTGCAGCATGCAGTATCACAGATCAATTTAGTCAAACAATAAAAGGCAAATTCAGTGTCCTTTTAATTTTATGGAGAGCACATAGAGCAAACTTGCCCGAAACTTTTAGCACAAGTCCAAACTAATAACCATGGTTAGTTGGAGCTTCATGCTTACCCATTAGTGCTTTAACCTACCAAATTTGAAACTAATAGCACGAAAGCAACCCATTCAAAGCCAAAGGTCATTGTGCTTCTCAATCATGAAAACTTACAGTTGGGTACGGCCACTTAGAATGTGATTGCCACCAAGCCTTCAACATAGAAGTGGTATCACCAGGGAGCTTTCCTGCCCTTCTCTGAAAGCACCGGAGTAACACCAGAGATCCCTGTCAAGCCTTAAGAGGCCGAACTTTGCTGTCTGAAATGTTGCACTCAACAGAGCGAGCATCACTTTGATCCCAGAAGAAAAAAAATAATAGTGAGCATAGCAATGAGTCTTTAGATGAAGGGCTGTTTGGTTGACCTTGCAGAAAAACACACCAATGCATATCATCTAACAGAAAGTTCACCAAGCCTAGGTCACGGAAAATTTCATTAATGATCGCAAGGCATCACAGCAGACAAAATGGTGGAGTGATGCTGAGCATAAATACAAAGCAAAATACCTTTTAGAAGATGAGTAAAAACCTTAGCTGATCAGGTCTGGAGCTGAAGCTGGAGATCATACACTAGAAATAACCCAAACTGCAGAGTTTCAAGCCGGGATGATACGAAATGTGATGCTAGCCTGTTGGAAGTGTAACACAGAACAACCAAATTAAGAAGACTATTACAAGTAAAACAGCATCACTTCATGTTGGACATGTCTTTCCCAGCCTCTAACCTCCTCACAAAGACACAAACCGGCTAATTGTTCTGCTACTCCTCGTACATAGGCTTGTTTTGAAAAGCGAGTTAAAAACTGATTTTTTAACTTTTTTTTATTTTTTTTTTGAAAAAAATAGAGAATTGATGTGACTCAAAAAAATCGAAACGCCAAAAAAGCTGCTTTTAACCTCTTTGCCAAAAGAGGTCATAGTCTATCGATTTCAGACACAGGCAGAAATATAATAAGATTTCATGTACAGTAGCATAAACACAAGCTGTTTCTCACAAGCCCTAGGGGAAATGGTAGGGTACTTGCACGCAACTCGCTTAATATTACAAAAAATAAAATAAAATTTAAAAATATGAAAGAAAACCGAAAGCAAAATTCTCCTGACCATGACCATAATTGAATTATGTAGTATACAAACATTACAAACTTGGCGCTCTATGTCGAGCTGAAGGCTGGTGTGAAAGCCTAAAAGAACCACATAAGCCGAATCACTTGAGCCATAATCAAAAGCAACCCTTGTATTAATATGACACGTGCTATCAAAAATTATAGGGCAGAGAAAATAGTGTTTCATACTGAACAGAATCAAAAAACAAAGAAGTCAATGAACCAATTTAAGTTAGTACAGAACTTATGATCCTATAGAAGACCTCAGGCACTCTTAAAGCTTATTACAAATTTATACATCTCACCAATACAAAAGATATAGTGCACAAACAAATATCTCGTGTGAATCAAAAAGTGAAAATATGTACATAGCACAAGATGTGATGAACCCGAGTTTGGGAGCTGTCATTATTGGCAAGTTTTTGCAACATTTGATGCCATTTAATGGAGTTTTATCCAGGTTTGGATGGTGCTTCGACAGATAGGACATAACTCAAGATCTTCTCCGCAGTCGCAACGAGTCTGCAAATAAACATTAAGTTAACTCATCAATGTAGCTTTGACCTTTTTACCAAACGAGGGTTTATAACAATGAAAACTATTGTACCTGATGTCTGCAAATAAACATTAAGTTAACTCATCAAGCCAGGGTTATTGGATGAATTTTGGAGACCTTAGGCCATAAGTAGCTTCCTCACTGACTTTGACTGCAACTGTCTTAACCTGTAGCTAACATGTGGCTATTGTGAAGCATATCACAAGTTTAACACTACCTTATAACAATCTTGCAGTGTATATATACAATAATACCTCTGTAACATTTCAAAAAACAAAAAAGGAAAATAATTGAAGTAGGTTGATTTCCATTAGACTAAATATTTAGGGAGGGAAACACATGTAAATCTGATTGTTTCTAATACTGCAATCGTTATGGGTCTTCTTGAGTAGTATTGAGGATTAACCTTCCCTATATACTAAACAAAGCCTTCAATATAAACTTGGAGATCACAAGCACACAATAACTCAAGTAAATTCATGAGGAAGCAATATCATAGCATCACAGATTGAATTTCACGATTTGACAACATAAATTCATATTCATATTCAAATTCAAATCAAATGAACACATGGATTCAAATTCAAATCTCACAACAAATTTATAATTAAATATGAACTTCAAGATCAGAGAGAGAATTTACCGCTTGAAATCGCAAGGGGCAAACCCTAGGAGGAGATTCAAGATTGTAAACCCTAGGAGGAGAAGAATACATAGTATAAAGACAGGCAATTAAATTACAACAATATTATTAAATTACGCTAGGGATGATTTTGACTCTTTTTATCTCAATACATAGTATAAAGACAAGCAATTAAATTATATTATATATATATACACACACAAAGAGCGAGAGAGAGAGAGAGAGAGAGAGAGAGAGATAGAGAGATATGAGGGTAGGAGAAAGAAGAGAGCCTAATCTATACTTAAATCTGCATTTCATTCATATTTGAGAGCCTAATACGAAACATTATCAAAATCATACTTTTCTCTCCAAATATTGAGAAATTTAATTTTGGATCTCAATTGACTCCAGAACTGAAAATTAACACATGCAATGCACTCTACAAATTGAGCAATAAAATGGAGAAAACCTCTTGAAACACAAGGTTAGTACCTGATAAGAAGTCCCCAAAAAAATGACTGAATTTAGCTAGATATTTTGACAACACAAGGTGTAAACTTGACACTGATTGTGCAATCATTATCAGCAAAGCCATCAAAGTGCAGTGCAAAAAGGAAAAATAGCATCAGATATAACTCAATCTAAAACAATTTGAATTTAGCTCGAGGGCAAATTTCATGTTACCAGTTTGCAGTTTGCTTCATGTGGACATGCCTTGTCATTTGGAAATAAGCACACAACCCACATGTGGTTTGTGAACTAAAGGGCACTGTCACGCCCCACTTTTTAATACTCAAACCCTAAATCTTCAAACCCATAAAACTTAATTAATCAAACCCATTTAACAAATCAACAACAAATCAAACCATGGCAAGAAATCATATATATATATATATATATATATATCAGTAACAAATCAAAATGAAGACGAAAGGGACCTCGTCGGTCGCCGCCTTCCCTTGCCTCGATGTCGCCTCCCCTCGCCTAGCTGCCGGAGTCGTCTGCTGGAGTCGTCTACCGGAGTCACATCGCCTTCATCTCCATGTCGTTTCGTCTCTGCATCTCTCTCAAAGACGGGTTGGGTTAGGGTTATGCAACAAATGAGAGAGAAAAAGAGGCTGAAATTCAAAGGGAAAAAAAATACAAAACGATTGAGAGAGAGACAGAGAGAGATAAGCGAGACAGAGAGAAGAAAAATGAGGGAAATTTTGGGGGGAATTTTGGAATAATTTGTTTTTTTTTTTTTTTTTCTAAATGTGGAAAATGGGCGGGTCTGAACGAGTTAAAATAGATTTTGTATTAAAAATTTGTTTCAATTTTTGAAAATTATTTTTTTGAGTTTTTAATTAGTATTTTTTTATTTTTAGTTAATTTTTTTAATATTTTAATTAATTAAAAAAATATTTAAAATATTTAAAAAATCAACAACTAATCAAGCTATTTTTTAATTATATTTGGTTCTAATACTCGGTTTTCTCAGCAAACAAACAGAGAAGAGAAAATTTTCAAAAAAAAAAGAAGAAACAATCTTGCATCAAAAACAAATATACAAACACAAGGGTCTAAAAGTAAAATAAGAGAGAAGCACAGATCGATTACAAATCAATCAGAAAGTCTATGTATGAAAATCAAATGATAGAGATTAAAAAGAAAAAAATCAAAAAGTATGTATGAAAATCAAATGATAGAAATATAGATATTATTATTATTTTTTATTTGGTAGAAGTAGGGGTAATATTTTAATGAAAAATATTTTCCACTAAAATAAAAGTTTATTTTCTGTGGTCAATGAAAAATATTTTTCTACGGCCTATTTTTTTTGGTTAGTAAAAATCATGAACTAATTTTTTGTGGTAGAGGAAAGGTA